CACTTTGTAATAACTCTATTACAAAGACTTTACAACTTGACTAACTCTAGCCAAGACACAAACACAAGGGTTTATGATTTACAAAGAGTTTCCTACGCAATGCTTCTAAACAAGCTAAATAGGAATTACAATTGAGAACTTTAACAAAGTTACAATTCAACTAAGGACATATAATCACTTGATATGGGAGCTGGTCCTTAGCCGTGTTGTTCTTTGTTCTTGATGCACTTGAGAATTTTTGACTGGAGGCTTAATCACTGTTGGAGTGCTTGAGTAAATTCTCTATGTAATGTTTTGTCATTGGTTTAATGTTAATATAATGTTGATGAGATCACTTGAATGATATAAGCAACTTGGGTATAAGGTCCTTCCTAATAGAGGTGGCTGCTTCACTGTGCTGTACTGTTGCGGGTGCCGTCAATCACTTTCCAGCTGTTGGAGAGTTGACTTGGTACCATCACCAGGGGAACTGAAGACCATCTGTTCCCCTTGTTGATTCTTTAACTTCTGATGTACTGACGAACATCTCCAGCTTAAGTCTGGTTGTTTACATCGCTTGGGAATGTGGACTAATGTGGATGAGGTTCCTCATCTGGTTCTTGACATTAAGTTTGTTAGATATCAAAACTTAAAATAAAGGTACTTATAACCTATCACTAACCATTCAAGACACTTTTCATCTTCTTTCCAAAGATTTGATCCTAAGTCCTCCTAATTCTTGTCGTCAACACGTTTCACAAGCAAATGCAATGGTCCAATTGCATACACCGGATGAAGAAGTGTTTGAAGTGATTCAAGAACTTCCTTCTCTAATGACTCAAATGTATTGATAATAATAGCTGAAGCATATTTTCGATCTCTCTTTTTTCGATTAGAGAACTTCCTTCTCTAGATTTGTAGTTCTTATGAAATTAGGAAGATCCCTCAAACGTATGTCTTTCAGGCCTGATATCCAATCCAAAGTCATCTCCAAGTATTTGTCAAGTAACTTTTATCTAGAATTCTCAAGAAGAAGAAGAAGAAGATTTAACAAAAATGATACTTCAAAAGAGGGGAAGAAAAAAAACTTAAGCTGAACATTTTAAAACATGGAAAATTAAAGCACGTATATATATATGTACCTTTAAATGGAGTGTATCCTTTTTCACGAAGGTTGCAGTAATGCATATAACCTAAAGAACCACAAGCAGCGAAGATCTAGAAGAAAACTTGAGGGGTGCCCAATTCTTGTGCAGCAGCGAGTGTGAAGCTTGTGACACCATCCAAAATGATGCATAAGACTGTTGGAACAGAGGAAGTATTATTAAGCATCATATGGTGGGAGGCCATCGGGAATGGTCTCGAAACGGAAAGATGGCAAGTTCTTGAGGCTATCGGGGCCTCGGGACTTAAGAAGGCGTCTATGGTTGTATTCGGTGTTGACAAATATTATATGAAAGCCTTTGTGATGCAGGATTTTGGCTAACTTTAACATGGGATTTATGTGACATTGNAGTCAGACGGGTAAATGATGTTCTCTATATGTAGTGTGATCTTTCATAGTTTTATGTCATTGTTTGCAGAAAAACACGGGACATGTTCTTATCCAGTTGTCCATGATGAGTATGAGTACTTCCTAACGACCTTGAATGTTTACTTCAAATATAATGTCACTGTAAGTTGATTGTTATTCTATTTATTTACTGCAATAAAGTTTGCCTTCTTGTATATTTTCTATTGATTCTAAACTTTGATTCAGTTACTTATTTGCATATATTCAATATTGGGGCCATGAAATTATTAGATGTATCAGACGCAACAGCAGTGTAATTGCTCATCTTGAATAACTTGGTTCGTATATTATATGAAAACTTAAATCACGGATGTTATCAGTTTCTTTCCTAAGAAAATTTCTCTTGGCTGATATGAATTTTTAAATAGATGATCGTCTACAATATCAGATATACAAGTTTGTGGTAACGTATACCGCAGCCTGCTGGAAATTATTCGTAGCAATATACCTAGAGGGTTAACAGTTGGACTTTATAAGTTGGCACAGAGTGTTGAAAATGGTGAACTTCTCGCATGTGTGCTGAATTCTTTCTTAATTAACTGCATCATAACTTTCTGGGTATGTTGAAGCATTGAATTACTTAACATTCTTTTAGCATTCCATGTTCTTTTTCTTGTTAAAAGGTCAGTACGACTTCATTTCATTTTGTTGAAAACTTATATGTTCATCCTCTTACTCAGTATATAATTACATAGTGTATTTGTCTGGTAGCTGACCATCATTGTAAAAATTGAAATTAACCAGGGAGTTCTGTTTGAAGCTGGGTATGTACCGTCAAATTCCGAGAAATATCCACTGGGAGGCATCATTACTGCCATTCAAAATGCCTTCCATGCAACTCCAGAGTTGATATGCTCGGGTGATGATGTGGAGGAACTTCGGATATGCTTCTATAAGGATTTCCAGGTTGGTTCTCTCTAATCCTCTGAATAAATTATTGCAAGATTTGCTTAATGTGGCTCTACTTGATTTTATAAGGCGATGTTGATGCCTCATTTAAGATGTTTGCTATTGTTTAGTTCACGACATAAATTATTATGCCCTTCAATAGTACACTTCTTGTTTGTTAACTTCTTTCCTTATCCAAATGCAACCAGTAGCTATCATGAGTGTACAATTTAGATGTGTACGATTCATGATCATTCTGATTTCATTCATCTTTCCTGTTAGCAGGTAAAACAGATTTTTTAATTCTGAATCTATGTTCATTTCCCCCAAAAAAACTGAATTTCTGCTTGGTTAATCTTATGCCCAATTTTCTATCAAAACAATACCTAATTGTCTCACGATTTCCATTCCATTTCATTCATCTTTCATGTTAGCAGATTAAACGGACATCTTAATTCTGAACTCTGCTTGGTTAATCTTACGTTTAATTCTCTATTTGTTTAATTTACTATCAAAACAATGTCTAATTGTCTACTGTCAGATTATCATCCCCAAAACTCCCATTTCTAGCATCAAAGTGAAAGGGTACTTTAATTCTTGTTTCTTTTACAGCCTCGTGACTGTGCGAGTGGATCTATCATTAGACGTGACAGAGTCTCTTCTGGGTCGTGTCCTCAGTACGTCAGCTTGCCAGCATATGGATCATGGGGTAAGTTCAAATCCCCATAATTGGACGGCCATCTATATTTAATAGGATTAGGTCATCTGAATGGGATTAAAGCTTGATTAGTTTACGATCCGATCAACTATTGGAAGGTCAAATGTCAGCATGTTCCGTTGATTTGTATGATGCAGTACTTTGTAAGATGACTAGCCAACCAATACATAGATTTGTAGCCTTAATTATACATATAAAAGCAGCAATGGGATGACCATTTTTGTAGTCATAGAATTTCCTTTTATCGACCCCCAAGTACCCGAGAATTAGTTGATGATTGAGTAGCCACGCTTATAAATTGTCTAGCATCGCTGTCTTTTTAGATCTCCTTATTTTATTTGTATAAATGTACCACCTTTTTATGAGATTTAATTACATGTTGACCTAACAAATATAAAAAACTTGAAGTTGACCCACTACATGTCTTATAAAAGGTCATGTACTATTCATTGGAATATATCATCTTTTTCTCAAAATTTCTGAATTTCATGCTTACATTTTAGTGCCCACTTTCAGAATATTTAGAAAAGCTCCTTTCTGTATTTTATTTCATTTATTGGTATAAATTAATGAAGAGATGTGTGTGTATTTCTTGTTTCATCACACTTGCTCACCTGTGGAACACTCCCTGCCATAGGCTCTCTTTCATGCAATCTTTCAGCTTTTTAAGAAGCTTATTTCTTTCTTATCCTGAAGGTAACAAATAAGTGGCCAGGATCAGTTTCAAGCTTTGCTTTGCAGTGCACTTACTATTGATTTTTGCATTTATCTGAGAAGGTAGCTAGACTCCCAACTCGAAGTTAAACCCCAAGAGTAGTGAATAGGTTGTGGCAACTAGGTTAGGCATTCAGGTCTGATTTTGACCTAGGAGCTGTATAATTATTCAGATCAGATCAGGAGTATGAAAACACATGTTTGCTCTTTCCAACCGTATCCTTTCAAATGTTTAATTCATCTTCACATGTTTTTTCAGGGTATTCATAGTCTTTTGGTTTCACAGGGCTTAACAACCATACAAAGGCAGTTTCTTGACCTGAGCAATAGTCTGACAGAAGTTTCATGATCTAAGCGATGGTCTGATTTGATCAGGTAAAATCTGACAAGGGTTGCAAGATCAGACCTTTATTGCTTTTCCAAGAAATTTAGCACATTACAAGTTTCAACTTGCTATTTATAAGAGATACATTGTTCTTGTAAGATTATGAGATGTTGTTGATGTACTTTACTGGTCTTATAAAAGAAACATCTCATAAAAGATTTTTTAATTTGTAGTGCACAAAGATTTTTTAATTTGTAGTGCACAAAGATTTTTTAATAGTTCGAGTCACCCCAAGAGCAAGGTGGGGAGTTCTTGGAGGGAGGGATGCCGAGAGTCTATCGGAAACAAGCTCTCTACCCTAGGGTAGGAGTAAGGTGTGCGTACACACTACCCTCCCCAGAGCCCAGACCCCACTGGTGGGATTATACTGGGTTGTTGTTGTTGTTGTTATTGTTCTATGGTTCCTCTCTATGTAAAATCAGTGCTTGGAGGAAGAGGTGGCATGGTTTTCTTTTGTTATTTTGTTATCCCTATATAGTCGTATATTCATTGTCCAGTTCTTCATTGGCATTTCCCATCGCAAGGAGCATGGTACTACAGTATAAGAATGTAAAGCATTCTACCAGCAAAATGCAAATTAACATCTCACTTGAAGGCTGTGTCATGTCCCATGTCCACCGGAAGATGAAGGTAGCAGAGATGAGCATGTTGAGATAGATGTGCGGGAACACCAAGTTAGATAGGATTAGGATGAAGCTATTCGAGACAAGGTGGGTGTGGCCCTTATTGAGGACAAGATGCGGGATGTAATGCTTGGATGGTTTGGACATGTGAGGAGGAGAAGCACAGACATCCCGATAAGGAGATGTGAGGTTGACATTTGGGG